AAGAAAAAATTGGGTTGAAAAATACTCGCAAAGGATTGCAGATATCGTTCAACTCTTCTTATCATATAAAGAGGTGTTGAAAAAACTATTGTGGACATTTTAATATCTTTGTGATGGTCATTGATTTACAAAGAACATTGTTGGCATACGTACCCATGGGTTTATGTCCACTAGGTGTCGCAAGAGACTATCACCTTTTGACTTTGTGTTTGAAGCACGTGTTCTCACTTGAGTTAGGCTAGTTGCCCTGTCTGCAGTTCTTTCTTAAATATGGCTCCCCCAACATAGACTTGTATTTGTAATTGATCCGTGTTCTTTTAGGTGTAACAAATATGTTTTCTCACAGTTTAGAAATCTATTGGTACTGCATTTGTTTATACCCGGGTAACACTAAAATTAATTACCGGCTTTTTCCTGAAGGGGCCGTCCCGTCAGAGCATAAAAAGATAAAGACTGCGTTTAAAAGTTAATTCTAGTATCAACATCTGTGGCACACTGTGATCCAAGTGGTCACCGTTTTAAAGTTGGCACAGCGTGAAAGTAAATAATTTGAGTCGGGGGAACAAACTGCAGTACACCAGTAATTAAAGGGATTAATTGTTTACGGCAACAAATTGACGAAATTACAGTACACTACAGCAGGGGTGTGCAACCTTTTTCGCAGGCGGGCCAAATATCGATAACTGGGAAAAATCGCGGGCCGCACCTTCATTTAACATAGGCTTTCTATAAGTCGCAGGCACAAAATAGTTTCTTTTCGTTATTGATCTCATGTCGTCATCATAGGGGTTCCTTGCAGAAAACGCATAAATATCTTAAAACTGTAATTCAAATATACTGTCACACCCAATTTAAACGAATTCGGTGAGAAATTTGCTGCTGAATTCTTTTGAAAAGTGCCATATTTAAGGCCATGACTTTTTTCAAATTAAAAAAGTTATCTTAGTTGAGATGTTTTTGGTATAATACGCCAAGATTCATTTCCTAATACTTTGCTGTCAAATATTATTCTAGATTAGATTTCAACAAAAACAACTAATAGGCAACTCCGCATTCTTCTTTCAATTGTTTGCTGCTCGGCAAGTGACAGCTTCCTTGTGAATCGCGTTGTTCGCTTCGCTGTGAAGACGTTGTATATATTGTCACACCAAAGACGTCACAACGTCTTCACAGCGAAGCGAACAACGCGATTCACAAGGAAGCTGTCACTTGCCGAGCAGCAAACAATTGAAAAAAAAAATGCGGAGCAGACGCTAATGAATTTGTAGGAACAGACAATTGAAGATTAGGCAACTGGAAAGCAGTTTGAAAATATGTAATATTAAGAGATACAAAAGCTGAATGAGTTTTGGTTCCAGCCTATCAGTTGATTTTGTTAAAATCTAATCTAGAATAATATTTGACAGCAAAGTATTTGGAAATGAATCTTGACGTATTATACCAAAAACATCTCAACTAAGATAACTTTTTTAATTTGAAAAAAGTCATGGCTTCAAATATGGCACTTTTCGGTTACATATTTTTTTCTAAAATGGGCGTCAAATTGCTAGCACTGCATTTAGGCAAATTTGGATGAGAGTAGTCGGCAAAAGAATCCAGCAGCAAATTTCCCACCGAATTCGTTTAAAATGGGTGTGACAATATATTTGGGCCGCACTTGGCCCGCGGGACGCACTTTGCACACCCCTGCACTACAGTAATTGGAGTCTCAAGCCGAGTGACAAACAGAAGTGCAACACAAGTGCACAACAAGTGTGAAGCTGTGCAATAATCAGTACATTGGAAAACTGTACACTCAATTACTAGTTGGGACGCTTTTGATCATGGCGTCAAGAAATGGTTCATCAAGCACCAGTACGAGTAGGAAAACTGAAGTAGATGCAGAAGACATTTTATTACCGTAAACCTTGACTGAAGGAAATTCAGAACTGGAACAGCCCAGATCTGAAAGTGGGGAGCATCCACAGAAAATTGCTGTTGTCAAGATTTCGCAGGTGATAAAATCAAGGCCCAGTTTGTTGAAATGCTGGAATTTCTAAAGAGAAGCATTGCGAGATGAAAAAGGCTACTTTTATGCTGTGATGATAAATAGAAAATTAAAGACATGTTTGTCAAAGTTATTGATGATCAAAGCTCATTGGAGCATATATTTCGCGGGAAGAAAAATTGTATTTCACACGATGAAATGAAATTATTCGAGAATCAACTCATCAAAATTAACATTGTGATTGAACACTTGACGCATAAAGTGGAAGAGCAAATGATATCAATAAAGAACTTTGAGACAAGATCATGTAATTCATCTAGTAGGAAAAAATCAACCAGGGGAAGGGACATTCCTAAAATTTCTGAAAAATTGAACTTAGAACAATTGCATGAAGCAAGTGCTAAAAGCAATGTTGGATTTTATGTCAAACGAACATAATGCTGAACGACCAGAAAGCAATGCCCGCTTTAAACGAGAACGTTTAACATTACGGAAAAAGATAGCAGAAAATGAGGTTATTTAGAAGTTTGCTTTAAAACTGAAAAGGTACAGAATCCATTCGGATTAATGGAGACTTAATTGAACAATCAGGGCTTTAAGAAATTTGTGAGTCTTTACCTTTTTTTGTAATTTGTGTGATAAGATGCAAAGTTTTAATCGATAGCACTCCCTCCTTCAAATTCCAACTAGTCTAACCTAACCATGCGGCTACGAGCAGCAACCAACGAACTTCCTGTAACAAAATTGGACACCAGCTTTGCAATCTCAAATGCCTTTTTAAATTCTAAACATTCCAAATATTTTTTATGTTGACTACGCAACGAAAAACAAATAAATTATACCGGTGCAGCAACACGAAATCCAGGGATCGTAAATAATAATCAAGGTGCTCGGGCGTAACAGATAAGTTTGTGACATCACAATAAGCAGTTCAAATTACGCGTGAAACCAAAAAACGGACTTTCTGGTTAGGCGTTAAAAATATGACGACCCAGAACCCACGCTTTGTAGTCCAGCGGATAAGAGGTAAAATCATGCACTTTTGGATGCAAGCATGAAACTTGGCACACATGCACAGTAGCATCCCCTGATCAATTTTAGATATGGTGCCATCCAAGAAAATACCCCGTTGCCATGGAAATGAGGCATCATCCGTATTGCTATTAAAGTGAAAGAAACATTACTTTAGAATAGGATATTTTCAAGATAAGTAAACCGGTGTGTATTTAAGAAGTAGAGAATATGATCAGAAGTGCATTTTGATAATTGCTCGTGATAACAGAATACCTTGGAAACGAGGTATCGTTATCGATACGATTATTAGTCGCACAACCTGAACCCTAACCGGAACACAAATACTATGTTCATGTTGTGCGCCACTTTGGTGCAAGAACAAAATATTAACAAAACGAGCCATATGTACACTTTGTTTCCAATAATTGATTGAAGTATCATTAAGGCAGGGTGGGCAAAATACAGCCCGCGGGCAGGATCCAGCTCGCCGAAGTATTTCATCCGGCCAACTTGTGCCTGTAGAATTTACGATTACAGTATATAGTTTTCATGGATATACATTTGCGTTGAAACTAACGAGTCTTCGGCTAAGATATAGACATGTATTATCTGCACCTGTAAATAATGTGGAAAACCAGCCACATATACCTAAAACTCACCCAAGATGACCCGATTGCTACTTTATGCTGTTTATTATATAAATCTTAGTCTAGGTTTGGACTTATTTTTCTACCAACATTCTCTCTGCAGCTGCCGTAATTTGTCAGCCACTGTAACAAATCCATCAGTATGAGTGGGAAACGCAATGTGGATTCCGAATGACGTTTTTTAACAAGAAATGGAGAGACGTATTTTTAAAGACAATATTCAAATGCCTGCTTAATTTGTGATGAACGGTTTCCAGTGTTCGAAGAATATAACAATACGAAACCTTTTTTTGTGAAGAAAACATATATATATAAGACTTTTGCCAACAATTGTCGACACAAGGGCTTAAAATCAGGGCAACAGCAACATCAGCTGGGGTAAGATGAACTACGCCGAGTAGAAAACATTTCCCTTTTCTTATTTCTGTCCACCCTCCTGTCGAGATATAAGTCATAAAAATTGATTCCCATAACCTAATCTCAATCCGCTATTTATTATATCGATCCGCCGAATTTATTACCGTTAAATAATAATGTCGAAAACACATTTCCTGAGCACCGCGATTATAATCATTGTGCCAGATATAAATGTATGTTGCCTGGTATTCAATAGAATTGCAGTCTTATAAAATGTAGTGAAAACATTGAACTTTGTTGGAGCATAGTGCACACGATTTTCGAGAGGAAAGTAGTATTAATGTTTATTGTTAATTGAATTCTGATTATTAGAAGGGCAATATAGATATTTACTATTTCCACACGACACAGATAGCCAACGGCAATGTATGGAAGAGTAGAATGTACATAAAAGTTTGTTTCAAGAATCGAATTTAATTAGGCAATATATTTTATGCATTATAGGTGCTTTGTTTGAAGTATGTATCTAAATAGTAAAATTGTTAGTTATTAGGGAGTTATTGTGGAATATATTTTTGAAAAATATAATTATTTCAATCGTTTTTCTATTTAATATTTATTGTAGCACTTACTTAGGGCGACGTTAGATCTAGATTACAAGAATCAATGATTCCAGCCGAGTTTGAGCTGTAATGTAATGCAAGTTTTCCGTCTTCCACAGATTATCTGGCTGAGACACTCCATGCCAGAGTTACGAGAATGAATTTATCTTTATTAATATATATGATGACGATATGATAGCTCGAAGATAACAATAATCCGTCAGTTATGAGATAAATACCGTATTTCCCGGCGATACGAGTTATACGAGGCCCGTTACTGAATGACATTTTTGTAAAGTAAATAGTTTATGAATTCTATCACGATTGTTGAGGCACGTCAATTTTAATTACTTTTAATTGTAAAATAGTCTACTCTGTCTGAATACTTCAGTTTTAAGAACTCTTTTTCCAAACTATGTAAACCACCCAGTTTTCTTGATAAGTTGGAATGTAACCTATTTCTTTGGTGAACCTAATGGGATACTCAAGTTTCTCCAGTTGAGCTTCATATACTTTCTGTCCTTGGAGACGACTTGCCGAAGTTCCGTGACTAACGAATACCCCATCATGCTTCAACACCTTCATTGAGTTAGCTAAAAGTTTAAGATTGAACTCCCATCTCTCCCCCACTGGTTCCAAAGATAATGGGATTGTAGCGATGTCATTTATTACGACATCAAATTCTAATCCAGTCTTGACAGCTTTTTCAAGATATTCTGCAGCATCTTCTATAACAATTTCATAATTAGGACCTGTCATGGAATCGAGTAGATTACCACATATTTCGCGAAAGTAGAGTTTTGTAACGTCTACCACTCGCTGGTCATATTCTACTGCCGTTATCATAGTGCTGCCCATATCCTTGATTCTACGAACAATACAAGCATCACCTCCACCCAATATAAGAACACGTTTCCCGTTGTAATCGACGTGTCCGAATCCTGATAAGGCATGAGAATAGCTTTCGTAGTCGTATTCACCTATGGTTATGTCATTATCACAATAAAGGCAGTTCCCAAATTCGATAGAGTGTAAAACACGTAGATGTTGCCTTGAGGTAACTTCGTCAAACACAAGCTTGTCAAAATCTCGTTCAACTAAACGAATACCATGGACAATATCGTAATGAGAAAATTCTCGACCTCGTTTCATGGCGGGAAGGCTATCATAAGGCGGTGTTTTTGGAATCTCAGCAAATTCTAATTTTCTGACTTTTTCATCCAATTCATTTACTAGATTCTTGAAATAAGCATTTTCAACACTCGTAGTATGTATGTCCAGTGTTAACAAGCCATTCTTCGCACTTTGTAGAAACACATTGAGTCCCTTGTTATTCGAGAAGAGGGCTGAAATATGTTTTTCGGTATTACTGTACACAAGAATGCATCCAATGTCTAAATGCTTCATGAGTTTTCCGATTTGACTCAAAAATTCATCAACTTTTCCATGCACTTTGCTCATGTTCATTTGAAATTCTAAAAGCCACGAATCCATTTTTGAAGTTGAATAGAATCACAAAATTGAAAAACAAAAACCTAATTGTAAAAAAATAACACAAATATTTGAGTATGATATTATTTTCCACATGCATGTTTTTCGGTATTCATCGGTTTTAAAAGTTTTTTTATTATTTCAGAACAGTCAAACGTCTTATTGGATAGTTTATGTCATTGCTTCAATTTCGTAATCATTAGTTATCGATAAAAATCTTGATTTATCTATCTGAGAGCCCATCAAATATATTTTTCTGTTACATCATATTCGTGAGATTCTCTAGAACAGAGGTGACGAACCTGCGGCCCGCGGGCCACATGCGGCCCGCCAAGGACTTTCGTGCGGCCCACGAAGCATTCAGGCAATTCAGTGTATGTTTGGCGTAAAGTCACAAACCTCCAAGAACTGTACAGAGAGAACGGGATCGCAAGTGTTATTCATATTACTGGCAGCAACACTATTTCCAACACATCTATTTTTTGGATCATCGATACCTCTGACAATGGATCAAAATGACCATTGTCGTAGCATAGTTACGCTCTCTTATCGGCAAACGCATACCGTTTAATAGAGAAGGAGTAATCTCACTTTATGAAAATGTGATATTTTCGTGCACGATACACGTGATACTTGGAAGTAATAAAAAGTTTATAACTTCTGTTCAATGATTAAGACAATGGTAAATCTCAAAAAAATGCCTACGTTTTAAAAATCAGTTAATCGTGATTAGAGGGATTTGTTTACAATTTTTGTATCCGAAGGCCTGCGAAATACGGATCTTTTGTACAAAGCCTCCATCCCTAATGCAAAATGTGAAAAAAAACACTACGTTCTGAAATAACAAATTAGTAACTATCCAGTTGCGGTTCGGTTTAGAAATGATTTGAGGTTTTGAATTTCCGACGCAATCTGGATTCTTAGCCCCCACCCACCCTAAAAATGTAATTGAATTATTTATAATTTACATTTGATTTTGAGCGGAGGCGTTTTTTTTTTATAAAGTTTTACAAATATGATGTTCTTGCATCACTGACTGTCTCTATCACAAGATATTCATATCAACGTCCGAGAAATCCCTAGATCTGCTATAAAATATCAAAGACTACAATTTATTTTAATCAGTACATTAAAAATTGATTTTGCATTAATACGCAGGTAGTAGACTCTAAACTTTTGTGTTAAAAATGCTGTGGTATTCGAAAGGAAATTCGGATCTCGAACATCCGAGCCCAGCGTTTATATTGCATTATATAATTGAATAACATCAACTGTATGGATGCCGTTGTTCCGTTTGTAGATGAAAATCAACAGGTATCATACGGTAGTACGACTAAAAATTGTGCGGCCCGCTAACTCAGCGGTGACTGATAAAGTGGCCCGCGGCAGCAAATGGGTTCGTCACCCCTGCTCTAGAATATCTGCAATATTAGCCAGAATTAAAGGCTAGAGTTCTGGATTACCAATGAAGTGTCGAGCCCGATTCAATCATCTGTGCATTATCAATGCATTTCATTTCATCTTCTTTTTTATTTCGCCTAATTCTCGGTATTTCAAAATCGCCTTTACCTATAACTAAAGCTCAATACATTCTGTCACGCCCCATTAGCTTCAGCCAGATACTGAACGATTCCCTTTCGCTGAGGCGAGCCTGTACCAGTGGAGTCACTGAAGCATATACAAAGCCAACCAAGACTCGTGCTCGAAATCAGTAGCATGAGAACCACAGTACCGGTAAATCGACAAAAATTAGAGATGGACTCATATGCTCGTTCATAATTTTTATCATTGACTAAGTTAAATTACCAAACTACGACGTCAATTACTTCACCCTGAAGTACTTTTCATTAACTGACGGAGCGCAATAGCGCAAAGCTATCTATCTACTTTTCAGCGATTGTTGACTGATGGGTATCTTTTGTATTCCCTGCTATTTGCTTTTATCACTAACTCAACAACAAGCAGACCGCATGGTGACAAATAAAAACAGGGTACGTACATTATGGAGGTTATTCATTCACGTACACGCCATCTCAATCCCGAAGAATTAGGGTTTATATTTGAAGTTGACACACATTGTCATTACATGCTCATTATTTCGTCTTCCGTGCTCCATTATTCACTGCGTTTAGTAAGGCTGTAAGGTGGCCTCTCAATTGCACTGAATATAGTATTGCACCGAATAGTGAATACAGTCAAAACAATCCTGCCTGCGGCACACATGCGTTGTCGTTTGTACGATTCCCTGCATATACACTTTAGCCGAGATATTTAAATATAATGTACAATTGAGCTATCCAACGCAAGAGCTATCTATCCAACATACAATATACGAGCATACCTGATTCTTGTAGTCCAGTACGGGAAAACGTAGAAATAATTCCAATAATTTTATGTGAATCATCTAGAATAGTCGAAAATCATTTATCAAAAACATTAAGGTGCTTGTTTATTGGATATATTTTGTGCAATATACATGGAAAAATCAATGCCTATTGTTTGAATTTACTAATAATAAGCCTTTTTGTTCACATTTTGAGATATAATCAACCTTAAACTGGTAGTGCTGCTTGTTCCGAATGAATATTAAAATTAAGTAAACAAATGCGACTATAGTAACAATACTGAGTCGAGCCTATATATCACAAACTTTTGACCGGATAACTTCAGCTTAGTTTGTTCTGCAATCAATAAGAACATTGGAAAATCATCCCAATATAAACCTTGTAATACAACGCATCGCGCTGTATCATCAATCAAGCATCAGCACATCATTTATAATAAATATATTGATTGATATAGGTATGGTATCAAATGTACAAAACAAGTCGTCGTTCGAATAGAACTCTGTGGTTCAGTTTGTTTCGGAAATTACTTTCGAAGTTCATATCAAATAACATCGTATTCGCTATAATGTATTTTGAAATGCGATAACATCAAAGAGATACAGGCTTTCTGGTAAACCTTGTAATACAACGCATCGCGCTGGATAACCAGAAAGCCTGTATCTCTTTGATGTTATGAACGACGACTTGTTTTGTACATTTGATACCATACCTATATCAATCAATATATTTATTATAAATGATGTGCTGATGCTTGATTGAAAAATATTATACGATTTATAACTTACGTAGGGATCTTTTTATGAAACTCTTGAGGGTTTTGTTTTTCTAACTGAAAAAGGTATTTTTTTTGGTGATATGGTTTCTTAGTAATATAAATCGGTGATATGTATTACTCAAATTGGAAGATCCTTCTGCTTCTGATGCTTGGTCATTTTTTTCTCGCAATCCAAAACCTGGCCTTGCAGTATTTTTGCTCTACCATTCAAGCAAGACTTTGCTGTTTAATTATTTCTGCTGTTTACGCTCCATTCAACACTAACAAGATCAACATCGAGCCCATCAATAAAATATATCTTTTCGTCATTGACTTAAACTGTGAAATAAGGTGTTCTGTGGATATCAAAAATCAGTGCATGTATATAACAAATGTAGTTCACTTCGATAAATAGTGAATTGCTAGAAGTAGGCCTACTATAAATACATTGTAAGCCTTTATATCTTGTTTACTCGTTTTATATATAGTTCCCTGTAATATATAATTCGTTTACCCCTAAACACTGCCGGATTGTTGCTAGAGACATTATATTATGTTTTTCCAATTTTATAGCTATAAATTTATATATCAGTTAAGGTACAAATCGGATGCAGATAACTTGACTGATTTGCAATGATGCCAATACCGAAGTACAAACTACTTACGTTTCGAGTACCGTTGTTGTGAACCTAGAACTAAAAACGTTAAATATTAATAAGATAATGGAGCCTAAATATTGTCAAAAATAATTCATAACCGCATATTGTTTTCAGATTAACGTAAAGTCATCTTATTTATGCAAAATCATTTATATTGCACGAAATTCTCTAAAAAATGCTACTTTTTCACAATATGAATATTTTGTCTAAAAGCCAGGAACCTAGAGCGAGGTTTTAGCAAAATACTACACAGGAAATATATTACATGGAAGCGGGTTTTTTCAAGTGATGAATTATCGTCAGGTAGAAACCCATTTTATGAACGCTGTTTTTGTTTTTATTTGAATGAATATGAATTGTTCGTTTTTTTTATTAGATCTTTAGTTTTTCTAGAATTATCAGTCAGACAAAGAACGTACCTATTTTACTACAAACGAAGTTATAGAGAAAGATTTAAAAAGTGAAAAAGAAATTTATATTCTGGGAAGGAATCTTACTGATAAATAAGAAGATACAATATTCAAACACTTCATATTCAAAATACAAGTAAAAATAAATAGACAAATGACTCTCATGCCAAAAATGCAGAGATGAATTTTGAGTTGTCCAAATTCACGAAAAGGGGAGAAGTTGGTGACTGGAAGAATTACTTCACACTTAACAAAAATGCAGCTTTTGATGATCTCAACAAAGAGAATATGAAAAATAGCAATATTGATTTTTAATAATATTAATTTTAATATTGGTATAAGAAATGTATAATTTACGGCCACCGTTTGAGTTGCTTTTATCAATGATGAAAATGAACATACTAATGTTAAAGTTTAAGCAAAATATTATAAAGTGCAACAAATATATTAAAAATTTTGCTATCACATGTTTCAAATGAAACGATCACTAATGAGACATTTTTTCTAAATATTCGTAGCTAATCAAAGTTGTGCGCTGGCTCACAAAAACCAGTTGTTTTTTCTTAGTGATTTTATATATGGCCCAGCGTGTATAAGTTTAAGATTGCCATTGTTAGCGCGTTGATACAGTTACATATGCATTGTAGATTTCGAAATATCGGGTTCTCCTCCGTATTGAGCTGTGTCGATCTATATGCATAATCTACATTTAATGTTATTCGTATATTATACACACTGAGATAACGGACGACGAGCCGATGAATAGTATGCTAATATCTGATTTCTTGCAATAAGGAAATGTAGGATATTGTTTGTTTTACTTCTGCGCTGG